TAATAAAAACATCGCAATAATTTCTGAATTTACAGTATTATAGAATGACAGTATGGTTCAATAGCGGGAATCAGCCCCTCATCTACTTTTTACATAAATATTAACTTCTGGCTTCAACGCTTTGTTCATCTTGTCGGGAGATCTTGCTGTAGTTCCAGTTCAGCAAGCATTTTAGAGACATATCCTGTCCATCCTCTTTTGACTTGTAATCTCTGGTGATAGATTTTGCCGCTTGACATTGTATCCTTTCAAGCTTGTTTTTTTTTTGTTACCGTGTAGGGGTCCCATACTACATGTATGGCTCCATATTAAATTATAAGATCCATTCCTAAAGATCTAGATTATTGTTCTAATCTGACACAAATTTCAATAACTGGAATGCTACCCAAGTTGAATATATGGTGACCCACGAGAACAGCATTATCACTATTGAAATTGTGTTTAATACCATGATTGTTCAATGTCATTAACTTAAATGGAGACAGACATTTGACCTGAAAGACATGAAAGGTGGTGTGGGAGTGCAAAATCAAAAACTAACTGACTATGATATATGGTTAAAGAATGAATATCAATTACATGGGTCAACATGGTCAAGGGCAGAGTTGTTATAAAATAACAATATGGCAGAGAAGTGGTTTCAAGTTTCATATAAAGCGACCTGACTGACATGAAATAAAAAATCGAAGGAGTATCCCTATTTGTCTAATCTTCAAGGTGAAATAAAACTAGTAAAACAATATTATACTATTGTCTAAATATACAGAAATATAATTTGCTTCAAGTAACAGAAATAACTAGGTCACTAGTAACTTATTTAATGAGTATGTGGGGTATAAGAGCTTGCTAACAACAGGCTCTTCATAATCATTTGGTTTGAAAAGGATACAAGTAGTCTATATTCTTGATTTAGAAAAATGTAATTGCAAGAAAAAAATCACATTACTTAGAATACTTTAGATCATTCAGGTAGTCTTTATTTATATGTACAAAAGAACAGCCAGTAGTCATTGGATATTGTAGATCATTCAAATAGTCTTGACCTTTTTATTAGAACAAAAGAACAGCCAGTAGTCATTGGATATTGTAGATCATTCCGGTAGTCTTGACCTATTTATTTATACAAAAAAACAGCCAGTAGTAATTGGATACTGAAGATCATTCAGGTAGTCTTGACCTATTCTTTGTACTGAAAAAACAGACACATATACGAATATCAATTATATGCTTACGAGACATGTTGCAATGTTAAACTTATTACGGTATGTGAAAATCAAGACTTGCATAAAAAATATCACAATATTAGAGACAGTGGCGTCATTTTTCCTCAGAGCTTTCAGCTCTTTGATTTTCTGAATTTCTTTAGATAAATTCAGTCAGAAAAAGGCAACCCCTTTTCCCCAACACTATACACTGTGTTAAATAACACTTTGTACCTTTTAAATTGTTTTGGTTTCAATTGCTGCTTTAGAACACACTGGCCTAACTGTGTGTCAGATAACAGTTTTGGTTTTCAAACTTGGGGTCAGTTTCTTTGAACCACATATTTTGGCAAGATATATAGATACTGGGGGAAAATTTTTCATCATGATTTTTATAGGGTTAAGTTTTAAAATTTTGTCCAACGAACGAGGGCACTTTCCCTTTCACTGTGTGTGGGGAAAGTCTACGTTCCCATTTCCCTGTCATATATTTGGTCTTTTAGTCAGATCCAGTCTTTGGGCTGCATTAAGCCGTTTCATCAATCACACTCGCTGTATCACCCGTTTCATCATTGTTTCTTTTGGAAGAGGTCACCCCAAAACCAAACAGACTCATACCGTTTACTAGTTATGTTCTAATATTACATTCTCCAGTTTCCCGGTATCTTGTATGACGAACGGTCACGTGACTATACATCAAATCAATTGTGAAGAATATAAGCAAACACATAAGTTTCCTTTCAGTATACATTTGTAGTTGCATATTTTAAGATTATTTTTATACTAGACTTTTATATTTTTGTTCAAAATGCTTTTGTAATTTTTTTGACCTGCAAAAGTACGAAAGTATGTCGGGTGTAACTAATTACCGATGGGAAGGTCTGAACCTGTAAATGGAAATCTGAACCTGTAAATGGAAGGTCACAGACCTCAGACCACCGCTAATTAGAACCCCTGACTAAAGAAGATGGAGAGAAACTAAACAGACTAAATGAACAGCAATACAAGATCAACGAAACAGAGATTTTCTTCATGAATTCCAGTCCCGTCTACAATGTTGGAGAGTGTCCTTTGTTGAATATGCACATAGTGAGCGACACAGGCTCTGTAGAGCCTCTAGTTATTTTTTTGTGGCTGAAATAATTGATGATTTATTAACACACCATTTTCATGCTGAGAAATGGCATGTGTCTTTTGTATTTAGCCAAATATTTTTGTTGCAGCTATTACCACTACATTGTTGTAACAAACAGTTACTGTGGATTCATATATTTTCGTTGATACTAATTTTCGTGGATATTTGATATCATGGTTTTGCCAAAGTGTACATACAAACATATAGAATATTTGTACTGCATTAAACATTTAAATTCGTGGTTCAACTATACCAACGAATTCCACGAAAATTAGTATCCGACGAATAAAATGAATTCACAGTACTTAAATTATTTATTGTAAATATTTTCAGACCAGCCTCAAAGTGAATGCTGCAGTCAGATTTTTAAAGGAATCATGTAGACTAACTGTTGGGTTATCCCTTGAAGTAAAAACAACAATATTGGACAGAGCGTTTATCTTACTACAGCAATATCTACATTACAAAGTAAAGAATGACCTTGATAAAAGTACACATGACCTTTGTGAAGAGTTATTGTCCCTGGTATCATCAGTCATTGTATCATGTGATATACAAGATTTTAAGGAACTGCTTTGTAATTTAGAACAGTCACTGGTAAGAAATGAATATTATGATGATAACCAAATTTGGTGTGTCAAGCATTTTTTGAATGTGTCTCATATGTCTTAAAGGCAGGTATATAATATGGTTTTAAAGATTTTAATATTGTGTGTCATACTGTATATTAGATTGTGACACTATAATAAACTACTTACTTACTTTTTTTATTTTGGTGAAATTCGGCTCATTAATTTGGGAAAAAAACTTGGTTTTTGTTAAAAAAATCACAAATTTTGAGAAATGTCTTTTGTAAATGTAAAAGCTCTAAAAGTATAGGTAGGAGGTCAATGTTGCTCAGTTATTGTGCATAATATGTAGATGTTCATTATTTATATTAGTGAAATTCAGCTCCTTAATTTGGGAAATAATCTTTGTTTTTGTTAGAAAATCAAATATTTTGAGAAATGTCTTCTTATTAAGGGATTTTAACAAAAACTGATCTATAGATTTGATTGATTGATTCTTGGTTGCTTAAAGTCCAGTGGCAAGTGATATATAGGTGTATTAGTTATTTCAAAGTGATTGACAAATTAAAAAAAAATGGTAAAAATTTGCCTTTTGTTAAAAATTCACGGAACTGCCAACCAAAATACATGTCATAGTGCTTGGATCTTAATAAAACATATTAATTGAGAACTCATTCTGAATTAATTGCTGGTGTCAAAATTTATGAAAATTAACAACCTATGAACATTTGCTTTGTATGCATCAGTCTATTTGCCTCACATAAAATGTACCAGAGGGGTCCTTGCTGACATGTCAGTTTAATTACAGAACATTGATATATCAGTGAAAGTGGCAGACCAGGTAACAATATGAATGTATATATGGTATGATCTGTTATCCTGTAGTATGATTTATTTATTACAGAATATAGATATATCAGTAACAGAGGCAGACCAGGTAACAGTATGTATGTATATATGGTACCATCTGTTATCCTGTAGTATGTCAGAGGAACAAAGCACATGTTTTATGCAGTCTATTCATAATGTGAGTATTTTATACATCTTTATGCCTTGTTTGGTTAAAGGTATTTTCCTTTATTCTAAAAGGCTTGTGAACCAAGGGTTGTTGACAGTATAGAAGTATGGTCACCTGAATTTCTCCTGTCTGGTTGTACCCATGCTAAAAAGGGCAAAAGATGGGTTTGGTTGTTTGGCCCTGTGTGATGTATATATGTTCCACTATATAAATGATGTCCTCTCACTAGATAATAGTTTGGTGACTATGTTGAAAGCATCTATCCCATGGAACTTAAAATAATGGATACAACAGATACAATGAAGTTTGCCACATATCTTGACTTTCATTTAGAAATTTAGAAATTGACAATGAGGGTTGGTTGAGAAAAAACTTTACAACAAAAGTAATGATTTCTGCTTTTCAATTGTGAACTTTTCATTTCTATATAATAACGCCTGGATATGCAGTATATTTCTCCCAGTTTCTTTAATTCCTCTGCCCATATTGTAAACCTTGATATATATGTGGTTAAACTTTCGGGTCCTAAGCTAGATTCATTTTTCTCTATTTTAGCATACCCCGAAAAGCCCTTTGTAATGTGGCTACTAGAGGTAAAAAATCTTTTTTTTCACACAATGAGTTTCTTGAAAATTTAATTTATTGCAAACATTTAATAACTCCATAGTGTTTACATCTTTATTCTTTGGTCCTCTGTACTTATATGAGCAACACGATGGGTGCCACATGTGGAGCAGGATCTGTTTATCTCTCTGGAGCACCTGAAATCATCCCAAGTTGTTTTGTTGGATTTGTGTAGCTCAGGTTTTAGTTTTCTGTGTTGTGTATCGATACTGTTGTTTTTCTCTTAGTTGTTTTTGGTTATTGACCATGTCCTTGTCAGTAGAATAATGAGTTTGAATATCATTTTGATATCTTCCACATCTCATGTAAAACTATGTAGCCACAACTGGTTGGAATGGTTAACCTTTAATATCAGGTGCCACTTTCTGGGAGAAATTTCATGCCCACTAAAAATGAAGAATCTTGGAAAAAAAAGTTACAGGGTCAGCAGGTGAAATATCAAAAATATTCGCTTTTTTCAGTGGCAGTTTATAATTTATTGAAATCTGTACATTTGTTAGTTAAAAACAACATGTCACCGGTATGTTATCCCAGCCTCGTTAACATTAGCAAATAGCATATTTATACAGCTGTTAGTATTTGTTAGTAATGTATGTACAATATCATATACGTAAAAAAAATTATATACCATGTCAATAATATCAAATAAGAAGCTTACCATTAAGATTGAGAAACATAATTATCTAATAAAACATTTCTAAAATTATAAAAATCTAAAAATAATCATAGTGTTTGTATGCCTAAAAATAGATATTCAAAACTGACCTTGAAATGTTTCAAAACTCAAAAAATCAAAAAATCAAAAAATCAAAAAACTCAAAATATCAAAATTACTGTTTATTTTTTCTCCATTTTGAAAGCTTTTGGATACATAATTAAATTTCACACCAGTGTACATTCACAGACTTGTATTACATGTATATATGAAGACAAGGTAGTTCTTTTATTTTTTTCTCTCATTAACTATTGAAATTTGATTATTTAATCTTTAAACACTTTAGTGATAAATTAAATTGTTTATTGATAAGATTATTATGTAAACCAGTTAAATATGAGAAACAATTTCAAAAAGATCAATCAATATCAGGTACCTTAGCTTATACCAGTCAACTCAATCAATTAACCTTCATAGTAATAATTATTTTTGTGAGGTGTATTTAATTAAGGCTTTTTATTATAGTAATTACTCCTCTTGTCACTTTTATGACTAGAGAAGTGTGACTGTGAAAGGGAAAGCATAGAGTAAAAAAGATAACGTAAATCTCAAATTTTTTCAGATTTATATTAAAATAGCAAATCTACTGTCTGCTTCAGCCATACACCAGTCGGTCAAAAATACATTAACCAAGTTATGATTTTTATAACATTAGATAAAATTTATATAGTTTTGGGGTAAAGATTGCATGAAATGCAATCAAAACCCTATGGTACTGACTTGATATCTAAATCTTCCAAGGCTTATCACTACTTTTGAGATACACAAAATATAGTGCATTGATCATAGCATTCTATACATCCTATCCATGAACATTTTGAGAAATTTATCAATGAAATATATGCTCAGATATTCAAGTCATAAAATGATGTTATACTTGTCAAGAAAAATACATAACTTTTGCAAGGTACAGGAATCTAATATCTGTTCTAAAAATATCAATGATGTCATTGTTAAAGTCATGTTAAAAAATTGGAGCTATCTTCCTTTGTCCAGAATTGTAATTGAATCAACTACAACCAATGCTTTATACAATGCAGTATTTAGTTTTACTTCCCACTGATAAATTAAAGCAATCTTTACCCTTCAGTGCTTACAAGCACTTTTATAATCTTTCTGTTAAAAATAAGTTTGAATCTGTTTGGTTTTCAAGTGCATATTTATTTACTTGGAGTTAAAATACCTTGAATTTTGTGACCATTGTAGACACAGAGATAGGAAGTTTGAAATTTGTTTCATGAAAAATCATCTTATTTAAAAATTTCTTGGTTTTTTTTTCTGGTGATTTAAAACAAAATTTAGGAACAAAAGTACATGGGTTTATAATGACCTGTTAAGAAAATTTACTTTTACTAAAATGTATTCCAAGTATAATTGGTATGATCCAAAATGGCTTATACAGACTGAACTTAATTTACTGATTCTGTATGGTACTAAATAAATAAATAAATTGTAGTACATCAAAGTCAGGTAACATCATTGGACTCGTCAGTGTATATTTTATCCAGAAGATAAATTGGATTTTACCTTGTATATGGAATCGGTATCATATATAAAACCTGAAGACTCATTATGTTTGAAACAAAAACACCTAGGCAACCACAGTCCATCCTCTTCACTAATCAGTACTCTACTATTCTGTCCATCTTTTGATATTACTATTATTCTGTAAGATCTATAGTCCACTACAATAATGTTACCATAAGTATCTGTACAAAGTCCCTTTGGTGCTGATAAATCCTGTTGATATTGCCAGATCTGTTTACCTGATTCATCATAACAGTATACTACGTTACCATTAAAGTCACTATAGGTTACTCTGTCATTACAGTAAACAAGGTGCTCCAGGTATGATCCACTCGGAACTTGTATTAACTTCAGTGTATTTCCTTCCAAGTCTATAATATGGATTTCATCATTACTCAGACCTACAGCCAGAGAATTATTGGAGAATGATAATCCTCTGCATTCTTTGTCGAAAGTGATAACTTTGGTGACTGTTTTATTCTCCATATTGAAGATTCTAATGGCCTTCTCTGTAGGAAAAGTTATGGCTATAGTGTTCTGATTGATCTGTGTAACACTCCAGGCTTCACCAGGTATAGGTAATTTTTTCTTTAGTTTGCCATCAGAAGTAAGTGGGTTAACTTTACCATTCTTATCCACTACTATAATTCTTCCATCCATCAGACAGATCATGTCAGTTACATTCCTTAATTTGATCTTAATCTTTGTCTCAATATTCATGGCCATGTTGTTTATATTGGATTGTTCTCGTGATTCTACTTGTGCTTTCCCCCTCACACTTGTTTCTCTATTCATAGGGACTTCTGTTTTAGCAACCCTCACGCTTGGTTCTCTATTCATGGGTACTTCTGTTTTAGCAACCCTCACGCTTGGTTCTCTATTCATGGGTACTTCTGTTTTAGCAACCCTCACGCTTGGTTCTCTATTCATGGCTACTTCAGTTTTAGCAACCCTCATGCTTGGTTCTCTATTCATGGGTACTTCTGTTTTAGCAACCCTCACGCTTGGTTCTCTATTCATGGGTACTTCTGTTTTAGCAACCCTCACGCTTGGTTCTCTATTCATGGGTACTTCTGTTTTAGCAACCCTCACGCTTGGTTCTCTATTCATGTGTATTTCTGCTTTATCTACAGATGCTTTTGATTTTTCTACCTTGGTTTTCTCCACAACACTTCTTAAGCTTTTTATTCCAGTACATTTTGAATGACTTGTGGAAATACATTGATCACAGCAAGGCATTAAATGACTAGAACAGTACAAGTTGAGCTGAAGACCATGTTTGTCACATTCTATTATGATGGCTTGGATTGATGGTTTACAACTTTTGATATCAATATTCTTATGATCACGTGATAACTTAGATCTTTTGTGATGACCTGTACATGTTGAACTTAATCCTTCATCACAGTTGTGACACCAGTATTCAGCTTTAGTGTTTATTTTTCCTTTTTGACAAGGTCCACATGGTATAGGTTTTTTGGACGACATGACCTGAAAATACTTAAAAAGTAAGTTAGTTAGCCTAATGGACAAGGTCCATATGGTATAGGTTTACTATACAGATATGGCCTAAGCATGAATAAGTAATAGTTATTAAAATACAAGGTGGTACACTGTTAGTTATAATGCACAGCTTATGTAACTAACCTTGACCTGAAGGACCATCTCCATGCTCCTGGAAATGTTCTTTTGTATATGGAAAAGGAAAATATGCCTTTAAGTAGATAAGGGTTGGTTACTTTAAAATTTGAATTTTTTTTTATTTCAGGCTTCCTCTTTACTATAATGGTCAGGTTATCTTAATAATTGAGTTTTAATTGCAGATCTGTGATTGTTTCTGATAAATTTATTCACAATTTATATATAGTTATTGCACAATGTATCAGCTTGGCATATTGTGTAGACATTTGTATAATATTGAAAACTGTATGTTGCCTTCTAGATGCCTTTTGTTATTTTTATCGTTGGGTTGCTGTCCCGTTGGCTTATACTCCACATATCCTTTTATTCATAGTTTTAGCTCTGTTTGATGTTCTTCATATGAAATCTTAACTTAAAAGGGTTATTGAGTATGCATTACATGCTTTGTTTCATGAATGTAGAGGAAGATTAACTAAAGAGATATATGCCAAAACTAATTAGACAAAGTGAAACAAAAAAAACATAAAATTTTTCATTATCTAACCCTCATTTTTCAACTGTATTGGATAACTAATTAGGAAGTCATGCCACATCTAAATGAAGTCTATTGTTCTGCATCTTATTTATTGTTTGTGTTAAGGTACATACTCAAACAATTATCCACATTACAATCAGTCCCAATATAGTATCTTAAGAGGACTATTATCCACATTACAATCCGTCCCAATATAGTATCTTAAGAGGACTATTATCCACATTACAATCCGTCCCAATATATTATCTAAAAAGACTATTATCCACATTACAATCTGTCCCAATAAAGTATCTTAAGAGGACTATTATCCACATTACAATCCGTCCCAATATAGTATCTTAAGAGGACTATTATCCACATTACAATCCGTCCCAATATATTATCTTAAGAGGACTATTATTCACATTACAATCCATCCAAATGTAATATTTTAAGAGGACTATTATCCACATTACTTTCTGTCCCAATAAAGTATCTTAAGAAGACAAATATCCACATTACAATCCATCCCAATATAGTATCCTAAGAGGACTATTATCCACATTACAATCCGTCCCAATATAGTATCTTAAGAGGACTATCTATCCACATTGCATTCTGTCCCAGTATAGTATCTTAAGAGGACTATTATCCACATTACATTCTGTCCAAGTATAGTGTCTTAAGAGGACTATTATCCACATTACAATCTGTCCCAGTATAGTATCTTAAGAGTACTATTATCCACATTACAATCTGTCCCATTATAGTGTCTTAAGAGGACTATTATCCACATTACAATCTGTCCCAATATAGTATCTTAAGAGGACTATCTATCCACATTGCATTTTGTCCCAGTATAGTGTCTTAAGAGGACTATTATCCACATTACATTCTGTCCAAGTATAGTGTCTTAAGAGGACTATTATCCACATTACAATCTGTCCCAGTATAGTATCTTAAGAGTACTATTATCCACATTACAATCTGTCCCAATATAGTGTCTCAAGAGGACTATTATCCACATTACAATCTGTCCCAATATAGTATCTTAAGAGGACTATTATCCACATTACAATCTGTTCCAATATAGTGTCTTAAGAGAACTATTATCCACATTACAATCTGTCCCAATATATTATCTTAAGAGGACTATTATCCACATTACAATCTGTCCCAATATAGTGTCTCAAGAGGACTATTATCCACATTACAATGTGTCCCAATATACTATCTTAAGAGGACTATTATCCACATTACAATCTGTCCTAATATAGTATCTAAAGAGAACTATTATCCACATTACAATATTAATCTGTCCCAATATATTATCTTAAGAGGACTATTATCCACATTACAATCTGTCCCAGTATAGTATCTTAAGAGGACTAATATTCAAATGGTAATAAATTCCATTTAGCACTAAACTATTTTGATTCTTAAGATTTTCTGAAACTTTCATTCATTTTTTTCGGAAATTACAAAATATAATTATTTAGTTTTACTTAGCTTGGGTTTTTATTTAGATTTTACGTTGTACAAAAAAAAAATATTTAAAAAGTTCCAAATTTAAGAAAAAAGCCTTTCAATAGTCCCTAACACTCTTACAACCATTATTTTATTATTTCATATTTCGAAACGATGAAATTGTACAAGCTTGTTAGTTGATCAACTTTGTCGTAATTGTAAGGCAAGAGTACATTTGAATTGTGCAGTATATCTGAGGTAGTTAATGCACACCATAGCTTTTATCCAAATTATGGCACATTAAAAACAAAGCCATTTTGCCTTTGACATGTGTTAGATATGTTTGACTTACATTGACATCCTGTCTCTTATTGACTTCTGTTCCTCAAATCAACATCCAATCTGACGTTATAATAAAGTCAGATTCTAAACTGACTGTTCATTCTATGCCCCTATTATTGTCTTTTACGGTTCTCAAATCAACGGCCAATTCTTGGCTGAGAACTCAAGACTTTTGGTTTTTTTTTCATTTATTCATCAAAGAACATGGTAACCAACATGAATGTATTTGTATCAGAGATATAATATTTACTTCTGATAGAATTTTGGTCCTTCCTGGATTATTGAAAAAAAAATAATCTATCAAAATTGGGGTTTTGAGTTATCTGTAGACATTTATGTTGTGGTTAAATGTTCAGAAAAAAAAACCTGCAAAAAGGTTCTTACATACTTAAAAAGTATTATCATTGAGTTATGATACTGTTAATTGTAGTAATGATTGAAAGACTTAGAAATGCCACTGGTTGTGAAATAAATTTGGGTTAAAATAGCCCTACTTTTTTATTCACTTCTTTCAATTTAGAGTTCAACAAATTGTATAGACAGCTGTCTATCGTTGATGATTGTATGACTGTGTATGTAATTTGATTGTTGTCTCATTGAGGTATACCAACATGTCCTTTTATTCATATGAATATGAGGGGCCTCTGTGGGTTAGTGGTCTAAGTAGTTCAATTACTGTATCACTAGCCTGTCAACACTGAGGTTATGAGTTCGAATCCCACACGAGGCAGGTGCGCTTGACTCCAATCTTAAATTGACTAGGATTGTCAGTTTTCCTTCCAAAGGTCGGTGGTTTTCTCTGTGCACTCCAGCTTCCTCCACTTATAAAAACTGACCGCCACTAAATAGCCAATAGTGCTGAAAGTGGCGTTAAACACAAATCAATCAATCATATGAAAGGAATGATAAAAAATTGAATGGATTAACTGCTTTCATTCAAAGTAATAATGTACATGTAATCTGTTGTCATTGGATTTTGTAATCTGTTGTCATTGGATTTTGTAATCTGTTGTCATTGGATTTCTAGTTGTCATTTACACATGTTAGTCTGTTATTTTGATTTACTCTGTTTTCTGAGACAGGATGTTGTCTGCTTTGTTTTTTGTCGAGCCTGCGACTTTTGTCGCAAAAGCGAGACATAGCGATCCTACATTCCGTCGGCGGCGGCCACAAATATTCACTCTGTGGTTAAAGTTTTACAAATTTTAATAACTTTCTTAAACTATCCTGGATTTCTACCAAACTTGGACAGAAGCTTGTTTATGATCATAAGATAGTATCCAGAAGTAAATTAACAAAAAGTAGTTTTCATATTATACTAAAAATTTCTAATACTTGTTAAAATTCATTTATAAATATAGGTGATAAAGAGGTGAGTGAGGCCTGTCCATTGTTCTCATTAAACATAGATTCTGGTGAGCGAGGCAGTCAGAATGAGTCTATTTTGATTAATATTTGACTTTTTAACAAAATATTCATAAAAATACCTGCTTTATATCACATGTTTGTAAAAAGTATAATCTTGAATCACTTAGTAATCCTTTACTCTACAGTACTATAACTTGTAACATACCTCTCAGTAAAAAGTCACCTCCTCTCTTTGTATGACAATGGAAATTATTTTCCTTCCAGTTTTCTAAAAGGGAATTAGGACATGTTAATACCTGATTCAGTTTGTCTGTAAATATTTAAATGACATTGATTATTTATACATAACCCATTTAACAGAAAAGTCCATATACTAATAATAGAATAGCCCTTTCAGAGATTAAAATCTTTTGCTCAGATGAATGTATTTTAATTCTTTGTTATAGTACATGGATGTTTTGGTTGAAAAAAAAGATTCGATATATATGTCTTGTTTGTTGCTTTTTCTTAAAAATAACTCTTTTGTTCAGTTTTGGATTATCAGTTTTTTTTCATACAAATAATTTTCCAAAAAAAGGCACATGCATGTAACTGCATATATTTTCATCCTTAGAGATTTAAACAAAATTAATGGCAACTTGCATGCAATGACTGTTGTTGATATATTCAATGTTGTTGATATATTCGATGGCAAAGAGTGTTCATCCTTATTAGAAAAAAAACCTGAGAATGATTATATATGGTAATATTATGTTGGGTTTTTTTTTAGGGGGGGGGGGGGGGGGGGGGGGGGGAGAATAATGAGTTTTAATCCATCTCTTATGACTAAGGAACATTAGTTATGATTGATTGATTTGATTTTTAGAAATAAAGCAAATGAATAAAATGGTTTTGAAGAGCTATCTGATATGTTTATGTTTACTTTATTTTAGTAGCACATTAACAACCTCAGGGATCTAAATTCCTTAAGCTTTGGGAAGTTATCCTTAAGAGTGAGAAATAAAAATCTTTGAATCGATAGGAATCAACAGTTTTAAGGAGATTATATAATAGATCTCTCGTATCATCCTATTCAATGCATAACTACTATGCCAAGAACGAAAATTTAAAATAACTTGATAAATAAAAGAAAATATTCGACTACAGCGTCAGTTTGATTTCTACTGCCAAACAGAAAATACACCCAGAGAGCATGAATTGCTCACCTGCCTTTCATCTATCTTGTATTACTCATCTTTTTTGTTCTTTACAGTTTCTACTTATCTACTATTGTTTTAAAAAAAAAAAATAAAAAAAATTGAAAAATAGTAAAAAAAATCATCATTTATGGGCAATAACTTTTATAAGGAGTCATACAATGTTTCAGTTATATCTGCATTTTTGTGAATTTTGTAATTGCTTATCATTTCTGCTGTTACAGGTTCTACTTGTCTATTTTATTTTTCGACATAATAGACAAAAACTGGAAAAGTGGTAAACAAAAATTCGCTATTCGAGGGCAATAACTACTATCATTCATTGGTTTCAGTAATTTTTGTGCTTTTGTTGGTCTTGCTTTATGTATTATTTTTTTCTGTTTATATCTTTACAGTTTTCACTGATTAACATACTAGTAAATAAAATACATTTGGTTCGAATGCTTGTGCTAAATTTTCATTTAAAATGCCACGAAAATACATGGGCTATACCTAGACTAATACTTTAACTAAACATGTCTAAGCCATTCCGTCTCATTTCATTTAAAATGCCACGAAAATACATGGGCTATACCTAGACTAATACTTTAACTAAACATGTCTAAGCCATTCCGTCACATCAGTACCATCAGAACAAATATTTTCGTCTGCAAGACTGTAATTTACAAGGTTGCAAAACCAACTGTCCCCAATAATAGTTGACAAGAAAATGTTTCCAAATTAAATATCCGATGGTGACCCTCAGTGAATAGTTAAACTTCTAATCCTTACGCCTTTGTAAACATTAAATATGTTTTCTTAATGATTACCAAATGCTATTGTTTGATAAGGTTTTTCCTTGTTGGTGTTCATTAAATTGTATTGATTAGATTATTGTTTTTTTTTACTTAATTAGTACTTGTGGGTAATGAGCTATTAATAATGGTGTTTATTTCTTTGTCCCAGATACTGATGTAGATGTTTTTCGTCTGTTGAACAACGAACTACAGAATGTAAAATACATATTTTTGTGTTTCCGTGTTGTAGATATATTCCAGAGGGAGTACTTGAGTATCGCTCGATAAAACCAACGAGTACTCGATAAGTAAATGTAGCTGTTCACCCAGTTGACATCCCTAATATATATATATATATAGGCTAAAACATGCAAATTACCCTTTAGGAGTTATGGTCCTTTAAATTCTCCCTCGCCCTGCTCGTCCCAATATAAAGTATTTCTACATAACTCTAAATTCAATTTGGCTATACACAAGACAAACACAGAAATAGGATTAGTTGCTCGCAGTAACACATTATTTTCTCTTGCAATACAGTTTTTAGTCCCCTACTGACGAAGTCGAAGGGGACTTTAGGTTTTCACTCCGTCCGTTTGTCTGTCTGTCTGTCTGTCTGTCTGTCTGTCTGTCTGTCTCTCTGGCAAATCAGTTTTCCACACTTTTTTTCTTCGTGCTTGAAGATATTGATTTGATATTTGGTGTATTGTTTAATCATGACAAATTACAGATCAAGTTCGAATTTTATTACGGTCAGATGATTTTGTGCAGAGTGATGGTCCTTGGACTTAGAAAATTCACTCAAATTATCAGTTTTCAGCATTTTTTTCGTCATGCTTGAAGATATTGATTTGGTAATTGGTATATAGTTTTATCATGACAAGTTACATATCAAGTTTGAATTTTGTTCCGGTCTGATGATTTTGTGCAGAGTTATGGTCCTTGGACTTAGAAAAACTCACTCAAATAATCAGTTTTCCTCACTATTCTTCGTTGTGCTTGAAGATATTGATCTGATAATTAGTATATAGTTTAATCATGACAAGTTACAGATCAAGTTTGAATTTTGTTCCGGTCTGATGAATTTGTGCAGAGTTATGGTCCTTGGACTTCAAAAAATCACTAAAATAATCAGTTTTCCACACTTTTTTTCGCATGCTTGAAGATATTGACTTGATATTTGTTTTATAGTTTACATCATATCAAGTTAGCACTTTGTTCCAGTGCAACAATTTTTTAACCGGTTGGGGATTATGTATTGCCATGCAATACTCTCAGAATGCTTGTTATTTTGAATAATTGTACAGATTTTTTATATCATTCAAAAACATAAATACATGTAATTAAAAACCAATTGTTCCAAGAACAATTGAAGGTCGAAACGATATATTTTGATATGAAAATATTAAAAATCTGGTTAAAAATGTTATTTCCAGTGTCATATGATAGCTTATTGTATGCTGATTCCAAAAATATATGGTTTCTATACACTTTTGTTTGAAATAAAGGAGATAATTTGTTACTTCTGGTTAGAAAATTTCACTTCCGGCTTTATTTTATAGTTTACTTGACACTGATTCCAAAAATATATGGTTCTATATACTTTAACATTAAATTAGTACACAAAATAGCTACTTCAGGTTTACACAAGGTAATTTCTGGTTGGCTTTTTCAAGCTCATATGGCTTAAACCTTATGCAAAAAGTCCCATGGCTTTATCATGTATACATATGAAGTTAAACCAAAGGTCAAAATCTAGACATCAAACTACCTATGACATTGACCTCAATTTCAAGGTCATAAACCAAGGACCTCAAATCAAAAGACCCTTTTTCTCATCACTTGTCATCCGTCGTCGTCGTCGTAGTTAGCTTTTTACAAAAATCTTCTCCTCTGAAACCATTGGGCCAAATTTAACCAAACTTGGCCACAATCATCATTAGGGTATCTAGTTTAAAAAATGTGTCCGTAGACCCCGCCAACCAACCAAGATGGCCACCATGGCTAAAAATAGAACATAGGGGTAAAATGTAGATTTTGGCTTATATCTCTGAAACCAAAGCATTTAGAGTAAATCTGACATAGGGTAAAACTGCTTATCAGGTCAAGATCTATCTGCCCTGAAAATTTCATACAAATCTGACAACCTGTTGTTGGGTTGCTGCCCCTGAATTGGTAATTTTAAGGAAATTTTGCAGTTTTTGGTTATTATCTTGAATATTATTATAGATAGAGATAAACTGTAAACAGCAATAATGTTCAGCAAAGTAAGATCTACAAATAAGTTGTCATAACCAAAATTGTCAGTCGACCCCTTTAGGAGTTATTGCCCTTAATAGTCATTTTTTAACAATTTTTTGTAAATTTTTGTAATTTTTTACAAAAATCTTCTTCTCTGAAACTACTGATACAAATTTAACCATACTTGGCTATAACCTTTATTAGGGTATCTAGTTTAAAAAATTTGTCTGATGACCCTGCCTTCCAACCATCATGGCCGACTTGGTTAAAATAGAACATAGGGGTAAAATGCAGTTTTTGGTTTATTTCTCTGAAACGAAAGCATTTAGAGCAAATATGACAGGTGGCAAAAATTTTCATCAGATTTAGATTTATCTGCCCTGAAATTTTCAGACGAATCCGACAACTGGTTGTTGGGTTGCTGCCCCTGAGTTAGTAATTTTACAAAAATTTTGCAGTTTTTTGTTATTATCTTAGATATCATTATAATATCTAATATCTAATACTATTAATTATGATTTTAACCTTATTTTACATAATTTCCAAAGCATCAGTAAATACAGGTGAGCGACACAGGCTCTTGAGAGCCTCTAGTTACTATATTTTTAATTTTAGTTTCCTGTGTATAATTTAGAGTTTAGTATGACGTCCATTATCACTGAACTAGTATACATATTTGTTTAGGGGCCAGCTGAAGGACACCTCCGGGTGCGGGAGTTTCTCGCTGCATTGAAGACCCATTGGTGGCCTTCGGCTGTTGTCTGCTCTATCATGCATGTCTATGGTCAGGTTGTTGTCTCTTTGACACATTCCCCATTTCCATTCTCAATTTTATTAATCAGTTATATCACCATATGCATAATTTTAAATATAAGAGGGGAGAAAACTTCCATGTAATGTCAACGTATCCTTTCAACCAAAATTTATGTGTTACAACATGTCGCAACTAACAATTAAGTGAAAATATGAGATATCTTATAGTTTTTGAAAAGAAGTGATAGTAAGCCAAAATCAAAATTTAGAACATGACCTTTGACCTTTGACCTTGACCTAATTTTCTTTTTTTTTTGGACCAAGGACCTCAAATCAAAAGACCCTAGGTCTCTATCACTTATCACAAAT